CCCCCCCCCACCTGTCGGCTCCGGCGCAGGACAGCATTTTGTTGATGCGGATCACGTGGAAGGGATGCAGGCGGACCCGGATGTGGAAGCCGTCCTTCCCGCAGCTCTTCACCATGTACTTATTGGCGCAGATCCGCGCCGCCTCCAGCGCTGCGCAGCGACACCCGGTGTTCAGGAGGTGGAATTACACCCCAAAGCACCACGCTCCACAGCGACACCCAGCGGCCACAACGATTCATTACACTCCATAGAAACTCCACAGCGACACCCAGCGGCCACAATCATTCATTACACTCCATAGAAACTCCACAGAGACACCCAGCGGTCAGGAGGTGGAATTACACCCCAAAGTACCGCCCCACAGCGACACCCAGCGGTCTCACCCCGTAATGACACCCAATGGTCCGACCCCATAGCAACACCCCATAGCATCGCCCCATTGAGACCCCATAGCAACGCCCCATAGAGACCCCATAGCAACGCCCCATAGAGACCCCACAGTCCCCAGAGCCCCACATCAGCCCCCAAAATGGCAAATCCCATAGAGACCCCACACAGCCCCATAAAAAGAAACCCCTACAGACACCCCATAGAGCCCCACAGAAACAGACCCCCATGATTAAACCTCCCCCTGCCCACCCCCTTAATTACAACCCTCCCTTTAATCAGAGCCCCCCCCACCGCTCTTAATTAAAACCCTTTTGCCCACCCTCCTTAATTACAGCCCCTCCTTAATCAGAACCACCCACGCCCCCAAATTAACACCCCCTCTGCCCCCCTTTCCCCCATAACCGAACCCCATTCCCACCCCCTGACCCCGATGACCCCCCCTCCCCCCCCAATTAGCAAACGAGCGTTAATTACCCTCGGAGCTGAGCTGCTCGTACTCATCAGACACCATATGGCCGCACAACGGGAACTCGTCCACCTTCGCCTTCTTCCGGCCCAGGTCAAAAATGCGGATTTTGGGGTCTAAAAAGGCCAAAAAATGGGACTCCGTGGGGCTGCCCCACACATTGAGCCCGATTTGGGGCTGCCCCACACACTGACATCCCACTGAGCCCCATATGGGGCTGCTCCACACACTGAGACCCCATTGAGCCCCATATGGGGTTGCCCCACACACTGACATCCCATTGAGCCCCATATGGGGCTGCCCCACACACTGAGACCCCATTGAGCCCCATATGGGGTTGCCCCACACACTGAGACCCCACTGAGCCACATATGGGGCTGCCCCACACACTGAGCCCCATTGAGACTCTCTATGGGGTTGCCCCACACATTGAGACCCCACTGAACCCCATATGGGGCTGCCCCACACACTGAGCCCTCACTGAACCCCATATGGGGCTGCCCCACACACTGAGCCCCATATGGAGCTGCCCCACACATTAAGCCCCCACTGAGCCCCCTATGGGGCTGCCCCACACACTGAGCCCCATATGGGGCTGCCCCACACTTACCTGGCACCCCCCGGCAGAAGCGTGATTTGGGGTAGGGTTTATTTTTGCAGTATCTGTAACTGGGGGGGGGGGGGGAGAGAAAAATTAGTGGGGGGGGACGACCCACAGCGCCCCATAGAGGCCCCACAAAAACCTCTACAGCCCCACAGAGCCCCATAGAAATCCCACAGTGCCCCATAGAGGATGCTAAGGACCCGCAGAGCCCCATAGAGCTCCCTATAAAAACCCCACAGTGCCCCACAGAGGCCCACAAGGCCCCACAGAAACCCCTACAGGCCCACAGCGCCCCACAGAGACCCCACAGCAGCCCATAGAGACCCCACAGAAACCCCTACAGACCCACAGAAACCCCACAGTGCCCCATAGAGACACCATAGAGACCCCATGAAAAGCCTTTAGACCCACAGTGCCCCATAGAGACCCCTACAGACCCACAGAAGCCCCACAGCACCCCATAGAGTCTCCTACAGACCCACAGAAGGCCCCCAAAACGCCCCACAGAGACCCCTACAGACACACAGAACCACACAGGGCCCTACAGAAACTCCTACAGACCCACAGAGACCCCACGGCGCCCCACAGAGGCCCCTACAGACCTACACAGTCCCCACAGCGCCCCATAAAGATCCCTACGGACCCACAGAGGCACCACAGCGCCCCATAGGGACCCTTATGGGCCTACATAGGCCCCACAGCTCCCCATAGAGGCCCCTATAGACCCACAGAGGCCCCACAGAAACCCCTACAGACCCACAGAAGCCCCACAGAACCCCATAGAGACCCTATAGAAACACCTACATACCCACAGAAACCCCACAGCGCCCCATAGAGGCCCCTACAGACCCACAGAGGCCCCACAGCTCCCCTATAGACATACAGAAACCCCTATAGACCCATAGAGACCCCACAGAGCCCCCATAGAAACCCCTACAGCCCCACAGAAACCCCACAGCGCCCCATAGAGGCGCCTATAGACCCACACAGCCCCACAGAAGCCCCACAGCGCCCCATAGAGACCCCACAGAGCCCCCATAGAGACCCCTACAGCCCCACAGAAACCCCACAGCGCCCCATAGAGGCCCCACAGCGGCCCCAACCCGCCACAGGCCCACAGACGCCCCATAGCGGCCTACAGCCCCCCCCCCCCCCCCCCCCCCCCCCCCCCCCCCCCCCCCCCCCCCCCCCCCCCCCCCCCCCCCCCCCCCCCCCCCCCCCCCCCCCCCCCCCCCCCCCCCCCCCCCCCCCCCCCCCGCCCCCCCCCCCCCCCCCCCCCGCGCCCCCCCCCCCCCCCCCCCCCCCCAGCTCCCCCCCGCCCTCGGTACGACGCCGCCGTGACGCCGGGCCCGGCGCTGACGTCATAATCCCGCGCCCCTCACCACCGCGCCGGCCGCCGCCCCATGGCGTCCTCCCCGCCGTCCTCCGCTGAAAGGCCGCGGCGCCGCCTGCGCGCCGCTTATATACTGCGGCCCCGATGACAGCTTCCGGTTACGCCCCGCCAATCCGCTGCGCTGCTCCATCACTTCCGGTAACGCCCCCGTTCTTCCGGTATCGCCTCCGCTCCTCCTATCTATGACGCTATACCGTCACTTCCGGTGAGGAGCCCCTAACTTCCGGTAGCGCCTAACCACTGCGCTGTCCCGTGACTTCCGGTTACGCCGTTAACTTCCGGCGGCGCTCTAGCGCGGTTCTGGCATAGAGAGGCGGATCAGCCAATGGGAAAGCGCACTGTGGGCACGCGCAGTACGTCCCTACGCACGCGCGCCCGCCTGCTGAGCGCTGATTGGACGGAGAGCGCGGCTCGCTTTCCGCAGCGCAGAGCGGTCATTGGTGGACGTTCTTGCTTATTTGCATACGAAGCGTTGGGGGGCGGAGCCTCGCCTTGGGGGCGGGGCTTCGTGCAGCCTGAGGCTTAAAGGGGCCGCGCCACATATCGCCCCATACGGACCCACATATGGGGATCCCCCCCTACAGACCCACATATGGAGACACCCCCCCCTATAGACCCACATATCGCCCCATACGGACCCACATATGGGGATCGCCCCCTACAGACCCACATATGGGGACCCC